ACAACTTGATATATGTATTTGTTCCATGCAGGACCACAGAGTGGGCGTGGGGGAGGGGAGGGYRTGSGGGGTATGAACTTTTAGCTGCAGGGGCTTTGAAAATGACTTGATTTGACTTGATTTGATTTATTGATTTAACAGGAAARGATTACTAAAAATCAAGCCTGACTCAGCATAATTGCTGTTTTACAGCAGGTTCCAGTTCTGTAGCACATAAAACACTCAGAATTACAGCATCACAATCACATCATTATACACCATAGACACAAAGACAAACAAGCATACCAAATTTCAGGAAGGCAGCATTTGCAAAACAGGACATCTAAATATAAGCACAACAGAAAGTGTCCAGCAGATGGCAGACAAGATTCTTCTTAAAGGGCTGTAGTTTTGAAATGGACTTTATGTTTTGAGGAATGTCATTCCATGCTTTAGTATAAACATAGAAGAAAGACCTCTGGCCGTAACAGTTTTTAAAAGTTGGTAATATCAGTTGTCCTTTTGTAACAGATCTAGTTGAATGACCACTTCCAGAATTTGATTTGGGCAACAATGCACAGAGAGTTCCATAATTGGCACCTTGGAAGATCTGAAAATATAAATTAATACCACTATACAAAACATTGAGACTTGAGAGGTAGTTTTAAACGTTCTATTTAAGGTTTCTGTTTTRTCTGAAATCATAGTTATTAATATTTCTTATTTTGTGTTTTATTGTGAAATRTAATCTGTTCCCATTTCTGCACTAACTTACAGGAAAGTTTTTTTCTTATTAATGYGTTGTCAGCACCTGACTCATCTGTTCCACATAAAACCTCCGACGTGGCCACAGTATTCTTGTACTTTCTATTGTGCTTTTATTGTGATGCAGCTATTAATCAGTATCTGATTTCATAAAGGTTATGAGTTGATAAATTTCATGAAATGCTTTAAATAATGACACAGAAATAGTTTCTGCTTCGTGGGTATGACATGATGAAATTTTTGAATATTATGATGGTGGGTTTACTTTAAACTGGGGCAGGTGAAGGCTGTGCTTTTCTTCTCATAATGAYGTTCTGTTCTGTTAACATTATGAACATAATCTGAGTAAAGTTTATGTGAATTGAGGCTGTTTTTGCGAAACATCCTCTTAGCAACCATGTTTATTCTACAATGCAAACACAGCCTTAGATGTGATGACATAACATTTTCCAAGCTCAAATTTGCACATTTCTGTTAAAAAAACACAGAACTTTAGACCAATCAGTGTCCAGTACTGATATGAATAGATTATAGAATGATTTAATCTGCAAAAGAAGAGCGAGGATAGCGTTTTTGTTAAATCAAAAAGTTGTTTCATCCAACCAATTGTAGGGAAAGGCCAGAATATAACCAGGTTATGACATGTAGTCAAATATATATTTAGCCTTGGACACTGTCAGCTCCCCTGTAGTCAAGCTTTGTGAATTTAAAGAAGACAGATTCCATGAAAGCACAACACCAACTACTACCAGGGATTGATGATCCTGAGAAAACCCAGTCTGGATTAGCTTCACCCTCTTTATCTGCTGTTTCCTCGTCTCCCTGTTTGTTTTCCTCCCTGCAAACCTTTTTATTCGTGCATCTGGACTGGGTGGTTATGAACGTTTTTGACCCACTGTTTGGAGAGTCCTTGAGCAGTGATGATAAGGAGGCATTATTATGTGGGCTGGATTAGAACAACTGATGGTGAATATTTTTGTTTTCTGTGTGGGAGATGGGGTGAGAAACTGGACACTGAAGGGATGAAGCTTCTGGATGCTGCTGATGAGGCGGAATCGACCTCTTGTTTTTAGTTCGTGGTCTTGGAATGCTACTTCATAGAAAACAATACTCCCTCAACCATTTGTCAGTCCAAAACAAACACACAGATATCCTCTGGAGATCATGTTAATAATATTAATCATACAGGTCTCTTCCATCACTATGCTTCACATGAACAASAGGTAAAGATCTACTATTAACCTCATAAATGAGCAAATAAATTAAATGATTTAACTTTTTTAAAATCCCTCAAAAGTCATTACACAATTCTCCATAATTACAAACACAATTAAAAAAAAAAGAAAATGAAAATGTTCTGCTCTTACATCACACTATCTGCGCAGTCAAACAACAAATACACCTTAATAAACAAGTCACTGTTAAAATGTTTCGGTTTGTAGGATTTATTACACTTGCAGCAAAATTTCAGCTTCAGCTACATAAAGGCTAAGTTTCGGGAGTGGTTGGGCTGCATGTGTTGCTGAAGTTTCACAGCATCTTTAAAAACCTACAGAATGATGTTGGCAGACCTGCTCACTGTCTGGCCAAAGTCGAAAGCCACGACCTTGTATTCCCTCTCAGCGACCGTAAACACGAGACAGGAACGCAGGAGAGAGAAGACCACGGTCCGAATGATGGCAGTGGGGGTTTAGGAATCTCTTACAAATTACAGACCACTGTATTCTCTATTACTGTGTATCTATAACTTTTAAAGGTGGGGTTGAAATTKTTGTGCTCTCAGACTGGATAACGTTGATGCTGTTTTATCTATTCAGAACCTAAGTTCATAAAGTAAGAAATTGGAGTGTGAGAAAATGACTGTAAAACTCACTTAATGACACAAAAAAGCATCCAGAGGCAATGATCCAATTTTGATGCAACAGAGTTCACATGCACACCAATAATAGGTTTGTAAATGATCCAGTTTACAAGAAGCTAGATGGTGTTATCAGGTAGCTGCTGGAGTGTCTGGCTGTCAGGTCAGAAGGCACAGATGATGCCTCATTTGAAGAAGTTGTATTGCAGGTTTGCATGAGACCAGGTGTACAGATGTTACAGTGGACGATGTTTGAACCAATGGGTGTGTAAGGACAAACTCACATGAGGAAGCTTCTGGTCTTTTAAGATGCTCCACGCTGAAGGGGGAATGTTGGATTGTGCACCAAGCATTACATAACCCCACAACACCTGCAGCTGTTTGAGTTCAGGTATTGGATTTGTTACAATACCCTTCATGTGTCTCAGTGACTGGCATCAATGTAGACAGCTGATAAAAACAGTTACATCTGTAGCATTCTGTGTGTTACTCCTCATGAAACACAACTCTGGTTCAGTCTTTCAACAAGACAACACTGTGGACTTTCTGCATCGTGTTGAGACCCTACAGGTCTTCTGATTGTTCCTCAGTCGATCAACCAGAAGAAAACGAACATTAAATTTTCTTTAAAAACAAACAAGTTAACATAAAACTGGTTTCAGATTAGTTTAGCTTAATCAGTGTTGTATAAATTACCACAAAGTGATAATTGAGTAAAAGTACAAGTATCTTACCAAAAAATTACTTTGGTAAAAGTTAAAGTCTCCTTTAGGAATATTACTTGAGTAGAAGTCTAAAAGTATCTGATATTTTTGTACTTAAGTAAAATTATTGATTTAAAATTAGTTAGATTTCCCGTAACAACATTTATTAGGAGGTGAACTCCCCCAAAACAATGCAGCAATGACCATATTGTATTAAAATAATTAATTTATGTTAAATTTGGGATGCACTAGTTTAGCTGTTTCAGTTTATTTACATATATCAAGGCTGCACAAACCTTTTCCTCAAAATGAAAATCTATCATGGGGCTGCGGCCAAATACAATAATATAATTCATGAAATACAAATACTTCTTAAGTACAGTCCTTTTATTTTTATGATTATGTCCTGCTGGAGTGTGACATGATTTGTTTGTGCAAAAACTCATACGGTATCAGAATTTTATATATTTATACTCCTCATTCAACCACAATTAAATTCWCTTTATCTGTTGGTATGGACATTGATTTTTTACAATAACAAGTTGGAATGAAAACAAGCAAAAATGAAATAAAAGTAACAACTTTCTACTTCTTGCCTTCTTAGAAAATGTAAAGATTAAAAGTACAGATAACTGATTGAAAATGTAAGAAGTAGAAGTAAAAGTAGGCTGAAAAATAATTACTCAAGTAAAGTACAGATACCCAAAAATTCTATTTAAGTACATTAACAAAGTATTTGTACTTAGTTACTTTACAACTCTGAGCTTAATGATGTATGCAGAAGGGTGTTTTTTTTTTTCTTTTTTTATTGTGTTTACAATTCCACATCTCCAAAAACAGTTTTGTTTTTGCACCCTATGGGGTACAGATGCTTAAAAATAAACATGCTCTGTAGTTTTTGTTTTTTTTACAAGCGTTTTGAACCAGATTTAAGTAGTTGTTTGGAGACATGGGCACACATACTGGAGGCACACCGCAAGCAGAAACAGATCAAATAATCTGCACTGTGTTTTGAAGTGAAGGAAACGTTCTTAAGGCTGTGCGTGAGCGCTCTAACTCCTGTGTAATTACGATGCCAGCTCCTGGCCGCTGGCTCTCCTCCATGGCTCCACGATGGAAGTCAAGTTGACTTTCAGMTGAGCGCGTTCTTCCCAGGAGGTAATTTCCATCCTTTAGTGTTCTCATCTTGGACACTGTGACCATTGTCTCATATAAATTGAGTTCGGAGATGACGCTTCTCTGTCTTTCTGTGGATGTTCAAAAGAAAATAAAAAACAGGAGGTCRTGGAACGTCTTTGCCTCAGAGCTGGGTGACATTTGGCTGCTTACATTAAAACATGTAGAGAAACACCACCAGTGGCTCAGAGAGAAACTGTATTATGTATTTCTGTGTACCACACACATAAACCTTGGCACAAATAAACTCTTAAAAAAAAGCTGCTGCTGGTGACTGAAAATGYAATAAAATTAGACAGGCGTGGTTTAATTAAAGTCTAAAGTAACTGCTTTTACAGCTCCTCCTCCCTCAGACCTYATATTTTCCTTTTCATACTTAGAGTTTTTCAGGAAAACCTAACAGTTTTTACTGCTCAGATACTTAGTTTGACATTTTGATGAACATCTTAAAATGTTCCATCACACGTTTTCCAGCAAAACAAACATAACTGATTTGTGTTTTTGTCCTATTTCTGCAGCTCTTAAGAGGTCCTTTGAGGTGGAGGATGTCGACACCTCGTCCCATTCTTCGCCCGGYTCTCGTCGAGCCACCAGCTCTCCTCACCGTAACGCCATGTCTCCCACCAGTATCTACTACCGTGACCTGGGCACCGCCGCCTCCGCCTCCAGCAACAACATCAACTATACTCAACCGCGCTCCATCATGGGGGGAGGAGGGTCCAAGACTCCTGAGCCGGTGTCACGCCGTTCTGAACTCTCCATTGACATCTCTTCGTCCAGCAAGCAGGTGGATCACATCACCAGCCCCGCTTCTTCACGCTTCGGGAGCAGCAGCGCCCTGAAACGCCCCGAAGTCCTGGGTCACTCCAAGACCCCTGAGATGGGTCACAAGAGGGAGGTAACTTTTGCCAAGAGCCTGACCGACTCCCCCGTGATCCGCCGCAACGAGGGCATCGGCAGCAACAACGGGATCGCCCGAGTCCCCGAGCTGAATCACACGCGCAAGTTCGAGGCCCCGAGCCTCGGGGAAGTTCGTAAACCCGACATCAACATCACCAAAGCTCCTCAGGAAAACAACGGGCACCACGCGGCAGTGCACCACCCCCACCACCCCAACCCCCATCACAGCACCATCGTCACCACCTTCCGCTGCTCCTCGCCGAGCCACGCTGGACGCAAGTCTCCCAACCCTGACCGTAAGTTAGCTTCAACTGGAGCTCAGTTCCACACGTCTACTTTATTTCAACCCAAACATCTTTTATCTGTGAGCACCAGCTCAGAAAGCTTTACAGCTTTGATGCAGCACAACRCCTCACAGCAGGGAAGGTCCTGGGTGYGATTCCCRGGGGTCTTTCTGTGTGGAGTTTGCACSTTCTCCTTGTGCTTGCGTGGGTTTTCTCCGGGTACTTCGGTTTCCTCTCATAGACCAAAAACATGTAGCTGYWGCCTTCAGCCCCAGGCCTCCATTGCAAAAGAAATCTSTGATCTCAGTGGGATTTGTCTGGTTAGAATAAACAGATACAAACACAACAAATAACGTGCCATTTCATTGGGTCGTGACAAATCAGGTTGCTGCCGATGCGCCTTTAAGTTGCCAAGCAAGGTAGTAACAGAGCCGTAACAGTCARCGTGCAAAAAAATGAGCCGGCTCAAACGATGCAGTGGAAGCAACATTCACGAATGATCTGAATCCTTTGAACAATTTCATACAATAAGTTGCAGACAGTAAAGAGACGTTAGTAGTTTTATTTTTTATAACTCCTCGTGATTTTTTTATTTTTCCTCCTCAGCCACAGAGACAATCAGTCCTCCTTTACGTTTTTACAGAAAACAGGCATTGGGGTGGAGAACRGCAGCTCAGGGGGAAAGGGTGGAGGRGATCAGCTTGACAAAACACATGACACCAACATGTGACGGAATGAAATCATCACCTTGTTCAAAATGGAATGGCTCTATATTGACTGGCTCTATAAAACAAATGGTTCATCAAGATCTGGATTCCATTAGAGCCATTCATCCCGTTTTGTGATAATGTAGTCTGTGTGACTTTGAAGCCGTAACACTGAAAACCAGCAATAGAATCATAACAGAGTAGACTGATAACAATGCATGGCAACTTTTTGTTCCTTAAAACTCATGAGAACTAATGTTTTTGGTCATATCTTTTGTTAACTATGATAAACTGGTCATTTTGCATATAAGTGYCATTTATTCTCTATTCTGCTGTTGAGGTTATGGTGTGCCAATGTTTTCAGTGGGAAAATCTTAGAAAACATTATTTTAAGTCGCAAATTACACTTTCTAAAGCGTTCAGGGTGCAGCCAACCCCCTTGAGATAAAATGTCACATTTTCCAGAATAGTCACTTTGAACTTTCTCTTAAACTTGATATCCTTAAGTCCRTATCCACTCACACCATTACAGCAGACTGATCCAAGTATTAGATCTATTACTCAAAAACTAGCCAGCAACGGGAGCAGCTTATTTGATTAATCGGATGTCTGCACGTCTGCCAGTAATACAAGAAACCGTGTCCTTRGAGGCCCATCCCTCAGTAGACGGGGGAAAGCAGACTGGCTGTCTATATTTGTGGAAATCACTTGCTTTTGTTCATGCAGTATTAAAGCTGGGCAAGTTTCACTGATGTGATGAAAACCTAACCTTGCAGAACCAGATCCGTGTGGCGGCTCAGCTCTAATTAGTGTTAGGATGGGAGCACAGCTTTAAGCAGCAGAGATGAAGGGCTTTTCCCGTCGGGGTTACATTAGTTTATGTGATTCTGGACGGCGATATGAATCAGTTACACACAGAATGCAACGTATTTTGGAATTATTAAAAGTAACAAGTAATACAACACTGTTCGGAGGCTTTTGATCTTGATTTTCTCTGATTTTGATGTCCCAAATGCCTTTCTGTCAGCACCACGAGATCTTAAATTGAAATCAAATGTTTTCCACACACTTTTCACAGCATAGTAACKTTATTTAGTTAACATTTGTAAGCACCAAAGAAAGAAAAACTAACATGAAAATTGAATGCTAGCTCAAGGGGAAAACTGCTGCATTGGCTAAACCAGAAAATCGCTATGAACAGCAGGTGTTTTATTGGCATCTTTTTATTAAATACAATGTCCTGTTGATTTCAGATCATTTGATGTTGTACAGTCCTGGCTGAGTTGACACTATTATTCCTGCTTTAAGATGAAATACGGCACTTTATCTCTTGGCAGATGTTTTGTTGTCAGACGGTGAACAATGCTGCAGTGTGTCGGCCCGTCCCTGTTCGCCTGCGCTGCAGTATGTCTTGTTGTGTTTTTAATGCGTATAACCATAAATCTCCCCTCTGTGTTGGCGCTGAGGGTTTTACATGGTTCTACTCGACATTACGGGGGGTTGCAGCTATTTATTTTTCCGCAGAGAGGGGCCCAGATGGGGGACTAAATGAGGAGTGACCTGCCGGGAAGTCGTGAACAGATTCCACACATTTTAGTTGTAAAAGTCAGGATCAAGAGATGCGTGACAAAATATTCAGATTAGTGACCAAATCTGAATTTAAATGGGTAATATTATGTGTTTCTCAGGCATACATTTAAATACTATACCATCAGAAAGTATCTATGTCACCTTTAGCTGTTATTAAAAGGCTGTTTTTATGTTTAAATAGAAAATAAACTTTTCTCACCACTTTCTCTTCAGAACTCCTTGAAATTGGCCTCTGTCTCTTTAAGAACCACCTTCCGCTTCTGTCTCACCCATTTCAGTGCAGGGGGGTTCGCGCTCGYGAGGGGGAGAGGGGGCTGCCATGATGCAGTTTACTTGGCAACTGAAAATACATTTCCTCAAAGGTATTTTTTTTAACTGAAAAGAGCTTCACTGAGTGAGAACTAATGTTAGGAGCTCCGCAGACAGTTTAAGTTTCACTTTCAGTTTCACCACAGAGCCTGCAGGAGTCATGGGCGGGGTATGTGGGGATGGGTGGGTGCTCTGCCTTGAGGAAGTTTGGCTTAAAGACACGTCCCAGGGACGTTTCTGGTCCCCAAAGGCGTTTCTGGTCCCCACCTGTCGTTTTRCTCCTCAGCATGGCTTCCTAAAAACGCTGCAGGATTTCTCCAACATGCATGAATGAGTCAAAGCGAGGCTTTGGGCATGTTTTTTTATGAGAGTATAACATTATAACATGATATAAAACTCAAAAAAGTTGATTTTACATGATATTGACCCTTCAATACACCATTCCTCCCATCTAAGTTGTTGGTCTAGCTCCATTTTATTATAGATAAGCAACCAGGCGAAAGGCAAGAAATAATGTTTTTGTTTATTTTTGTGGGTGCGTACCTTGTTGTGTCTATTGTGTTAGCAAAATATCTTATGAAGTTAATTATCTGAAAGCAATCATTAAATGTGAATCTACCATCACACACTTAAAGTGCTAACAAGCTGCACAACATCTTGTAATATTGTGTGAGAACATACATAAAATAGCAGACATTTCAAAATCGGATCTACTTGGCAAAAATTTTGTCATATTTCAACATTAGATATTCTCATTTTAAAACTCCAATATGGTGTGTTGATATGCATTCATAAAAAAGGGAAGCTCAGCTAATCATTTCTGCAAATAAAAGAAAAATCAAGGAACTGTTTGGGTCACAAAAGAAAATATAAGATTGTACTTTTTATTTTTCCTTGTGACTGCCAACTGTGTTTTAGGCTG